AAAAAAAAAAAAAAAAAACTTCTCAAAAAAACATTTCAAGCCTTACATTTTTACTCGATGTCTAACTTTTTGCAAATAGTTACACATTATTTACTTCTGTTAGGTAAAGAAGTATTCCAATAGGTAGACAGGAAAGTTAACCCTCTATTTGTACTTTTGGACTTAACAAATGAAACAAATGCCTTGGGAAGAGCCAACATAGGTCTTAGCAAATGCATTAATTAAATTATTGAGTCAGCCTCTATGCTAGCTACACTGAAAAGGATCCGTTCTCTCAGCCCTCTTAGGAAAAGAGATTCTTTATTATGTGTCTTTAAAGTTAGTAGTTGATATGGACACCTGAGGAGTTCATGGGTTTCAGTGACCTTTTACTATGGACCTGTTTCCAGTCAATTCATGTTTTCCTCACAGCCAGACAGCTGTTTATTACTGTGTCTTCCCGCATTCTCTACAATATTTTCTACTGAGACCTCGAGCAGCTTGTTAGTGGGAAGTAAATATTGATTTGGCATCCTGTCAATGCAGGAAGAATGAAAAAATTTCCACCAGAGGCCCCTCAAACATTTTCCTATCGACATTTTCTGGGCCGAGTGGAAAGCTGCATAGAGGATGACAAGGCCAAGACGAGTTGAAATCCCTGAGGGGTCCATTGAGACGGCTGCTGTGACCTGTGTGATACTTTTTCTTTCCTTTCAAGTATTTTTTTAATACACATAGAGTCTGCTGGGATGTGCCCCTCTTGTAAGTGATCAAGGGCAGTTTATTGGCAGGTGAGAGCCCTGCTTTTCTAGTCATAGCCAGCTTTTGTTTTGACATCACCAACAGCATGTAATGTATTCGAAAAGTTTTTCATTAGAGTTCTTTTTGCTTAACCTAATTGTCTCTTTTAAAAATGAACCAAGGATAAAAAGAGCTAAAATGTGTTTTTCAAAATAGCAAAAAATATACACATCCATTACTGTCCTGTGATTTTTGGAAAGCCATTATAAATGTTTCTGTGTAAAGATTAAAAATAAAAGCAGTTTTAAACACATTTATTTTACATTTATATGAACAAACAACAGCATCTATACTTCTGGAAAAGTCAAGGATAAGTAAATAATACATGAACTACTCATATTCTTAGTGTCAGTCTTATATATTTTTGAAATGTTATCTGGAATCACTTCCATAGTAACAGAAGGTGATTGGCAATCTTTGCTTAAAATTCTTCAAGTGCAGACAATGTCTTCTACAGTGACAACTTGCTTTTGAGAAGAAAGGCCATTTCTTAATGAATGTTGCGTGCCCAGCACCCAGCCCAGTGGCCAGCACATCAAAGGAGTTCAGTAATGAGTGTGACAGGTTATATATTTAGGCTTGAAAAATGATAAAAAATAAACTCTTAAATGAATTTTTTAATGTTCAATTTGTAAACATGACTCTTTAATATGGAGCTTTCATCGTCAGTTATGGACATAAAAAAAAATAGATCCACGTGCGTAAATCTTTATTAATTTTTTCTAAAGCTGTATTGACACCAGACCTGCTTTTTTGACTCACCTTTGTAGATGTACATGCACACATTCTACATTATCTGGATGTATACTTATGCCGCTTAGTCGGTGCAAAAAAAATCCTGTGGAAAATGGCATTAGACCGCTTAATACTGCAGTTTGATGTAGTGCCTTTTTGTGCCACTGAGCCTGGACTCTGGAATATAATTGCCTGGCAGTATTGATTTAATTGCCCAGGTTTATTTGTGGACTCCTAATTATTGACTGGAGGTAAATTTAATGGAGCAGCCTTTATGAACACTGGGAAAGCGCCTCTGTTGCCGTTATACATAATGAACTGCATCATGTGCCTTTAGATCATTTTTCAAGCTAATTTTATTCCACTGTGACAGTATGAAAACATTTAAAAAGTCAAAGACTTTTTATTTTTATTACTGACATAGGTGGTTTTGCTGATGTCTTTGAATTTTGTGAGAAAAAAATAGTGACTTGATTGGTTGCACTTGAATGTCACTTCATAATTACACCCAAGAGAAAAATCTATAAAATAGAAAACATCTTTTTTTTTAGCCTACTTTTCTTCTCTCTCCGTTCCAGCAATTACATTTGTCCTGAATTTTAGAAAAGGTTTTCTTTGTCCGACAATTTTTTTAGAGGCTGTTATGCCTCTAAAAGTGTATGTATGTTCATTCCTACATTTGCTTAGTACAATATACAGTTCTGTGTGTCTGAGGTTATGTGATTGTCAAGCTGTGGAATAATTGAGCACATTTCCTTAAAAAAATAATTAATTTAATATTGATATTTGGTTATTAGAATATTTTGAAGATAAAATTATTGGAAAACTTCTCTTTTATGTCCTCTGTGTTGGGTGCTGTAAGGGAATTCTCGGATCAGAGGAGTCAGTCTGGCCCTGTGGTTTTACCTTTTGTTTAAGAATTAAGCCACAAAATGATTTTCTTTCAAAGAAAATTTTCTCTGCATTCATTTGGTGTAAATTTGCATTCATATAATGCTTGCCACAAAATAAAAAGCTGTTCCGCCATGTGGCAATATGGGACTATACAACAATATAATGCCTACTACTGCTGCTAGCCAGAAGTGCATGACAACTGAAAGGCCTGAAACCTTAACTTTTCTTTATTTAAGGCAGAGTGCAAATATATGGCCTCTTTGCTTCAAGTAGTCCTGGTGCAATTGGTAATTTTATGTGTAATCATATCTGCACCTAACTTTTGTTCCTACAGATTTCTAGCAATAAAAATTACACTAAAAAAATCTTTCTAATATCTACTGTTATTCTTACAGCATAGCTGCCATTTAATTTCTTTGAACATTTTTACTTGTACTAATTCATCTTTCTTACATTATTACATTTTTAAAAACTTGCAATCTATGGCAGAGAAAAGCAAACAAATTAATGATTATAATAGGATGGGAGAACCCTTCCAAATTAGTTCTTCTGTAGTTCAGAGGGTGGGAGAAAAAAAACAGAGATAGAAAAAGTAGGCTGAGACCAAACTATAAAAGCGGTGAGCAAGAAAGAGATATGATCAGAGTTGTGTTTTATAAAGATGCTTGAGATCAGCACATAGTAGGTCTGTAGGGAGAGAGACTGGGAGCAGGAAGATAGTTTAGGCAAAGGGCAATGAGGGTCTGCATGTGCCATTGCCATAAAAATGGAAAGAATGAGATAGATGTGACCCACATTATAGCGATTGAATCAATAGCGGTAATGAGATTAGATAGAGTCAGAAAGCAGAAACCATAGATGGGTGAGTTTAATACCCCCCATAAAGAGAAAGATGATGATACCTCTAAGAGTTTGAGACACCAAAAGGTGTAGATCAGATGTGGTAGGGAGGAGATGTCAGTACTGAATCCATAGAAAGTGTAGTAGATGCATTCCATTAACAATATTCAAGGATTCAAGTGTTTTCATTAATTCAGCTAGCCTTCTCTCTGGCTTTTCTCAGTGAAATTTAACCATTTGTGAACACATTTCAAACTCTTACAACTCAACAACTAAAAGTAAAGAAACTGATTTGAATAGACATTTCTATAAGAAGATAAACAGATAGCTAATAAGGGCATGAAAAGATGCTCAACATCATTAACCATCAGGGAAATGGAACCCAAAAACTGAGATGAGGTACTGCCTCACACCGAGCAGGTTGGCTATCACGAAAAAGACAGACAATACCAAGGGTTGGTGAAGATGTGGAGAAATTAGAACCCTTATACATTGCTGCTGAAAATGTAAAATGATGCCACTCCTGAGGAAAAGAGTCTTTCACTTCTTCAGAAAGTTAAAAATAGAGATTATATGACCCAGCAGTTTCATCCTCTAGGCATATACCCACAATAAATGAAAACACATGTCCATACAAAAACTTCTACATGAATGTTCACAACAGCATTATTCATAATACCTCCAAAGTGGAAGCAACCCAGAGGTACATCAGCTGATGAATGGATTAATTTGGCGTATGTATACATGGAATTCTGCCATAAAATGGAATGAAGTAGTAAATACATGCTACAACACAGCCCTATAACCCTTATGCTAAGTGAAAGAAGCCACACACAAAAGGTCACATATAGTCTAACTGCATTCATATGAAATGTCCAGAATGGCAAATCTATATAAAGACAGAAAGTAGAGTGGTGGTTACCATGGAGATCGGGGTGGGGGCAGGCAGACAGGGAGTGGCTGCTAATGGGTACAGAGTTTCTTTTGAGGGTGATGGAAATGTTCTAGAATGAGATAGTGGCGATGGTGGCACAGCCTTGTGAATATATCAAAAACCAACAAATTCTATACTTTAAAGTGGTGAATTTTATATTATGTGAACTATATATTAATTTAAAAAATGTTCTCTTTAATATCAAAAGAGGAAAAAATACATTTATTAAAAAAATATTTTTAATGTTTATTCATTTTTAATAGAGAGAGCACGCACAAGCAGGGTTGGGGCAGAGAGAGAGGGAGACACAGAATCTGAAGTAGGCTCCAGGCTCCGAGCCATCAACATGGACCCCAACGCAGGGCTTG